ACTTATTTGATTCACAAATTAAACATTATATAACTTTGTTATTCTTCGTTTTGTATATAACATTAATTTATGCAAGTCTTCATATGTTTTTTTTAAAGGATGGCGATCTTGAAAAGTAATTTCCAGATCAAGAAACATATTGCGGTAGTTAGAGCTACAGGTTCTAAATGTTTTGAATAAAAACCAAAATATCTTAAAAGCCTTATACCTTAGAACTAATTAATGTTCTATAGTAATTGAAAAGCATATAAGGAATTAATTTTTCAGCATTTTTCGTAATTAAGCTGCATTTGTTGTTGATAACTCTGTAAATAGTGTGCATATTCTCATCTCTCTATCACCGAATTGTCACCTATGACATCAGAGCAGTATTTCGCCGAAATCTGACTGAAATATGCATATTGCCGTATTTGAATTTCAACTCTCAATATCTCTTAAAATATGCTTTCAACAACGTTTATTGTATTCAGTATTTTAATAATTAAGGTTATAGATAATATTTTTCATAAAATTACGATTTTTGAAAGATCATGCGATAAGTCCTTTAATAGGTATGATTGTAGGTATTGAGCTGATTTTTAGCTCACCTGAGCTGAAAGCTAATGTTATGGCCATTTGTACTGTGTGCAGGATACATATATACAGTTTTTGGAACATTATTGGGCTACTGTATATCTTAAGAGCCCCTAGGCCAATACATTTATCAAATTTGTAAATAAATGAAGTATTTGGGCCAAGAGCTTCCATTTATTTTAAAGAAAAAGATAAAAGAAAAAGTGGAGATAATTTAAGAAATTTGTTAAAAAAAAAATGATAGTGGTTACTAAAATATCTTCTTTTCAAGAGCAACTCACTGACCAGGGCAGATTTTCACCAAACTTGCAGATAGGGATGAGATTAATTTTTTCTCTTCAAAAAATCACTTTAGGGCAAAGGCTGTAGTCTCAAGGTCACATCAAAATTGACCTGAAATGATACATGTACTTGTTAAACTTTTAAAATATTTTTCCCACTATGAAAACTAGGATCATCTTTTTTTCAGTTGACACATCTTTGGGCTTTAGGGTGTGACAACCCAAAAGTATGTTATGGTGACCTACATCTACTTATGGAATTCTACAGTTATTCAATTCATTTTTTATACATATCTTGGATACTGCAAAGCTTACAATCATCAAAACTTGCTATTTAATGCATCTTGGGTGGTTTGTCAACTAAAAGGAAGGTCACAGTGACCTACTTAATGAATGTTACTGCTCTTCTTTTCCAGTCTTCTTTCCTAAATATCTTTGATACTAAGACACCCATAATATGTTGACCTAAAAAACATATCACAGTTTCCTACTATCTGAATTATTGCTACTCATTTTGAAATATTTTAACATAAACAATATGAGATGTAGAGTCAACAAACCTAGAGAGTTGATGCACCTTGGGGTCTTCAGGTGTCAACCAAAAAGTTGGTCATCTTGATCTACTTGATTGATTTTCTGGCTGTTCATTTTCAAATTTTTTAAAATGAATGACTTGGATACTAAGAGGCCAAAGAACATCAGACCTTGTCAGTTGATGCAGATTTGGACCTCTTGCTGTATTAATGTAAATGGAGGTCACAGTGACCTAATTTTTGAAATTTTGGTCTATTACTTTTGAAATATTTTAGCCTACATATTTTGAACACCAAGCTAAGTGGTACAGGGTTATAAAACCTAGAGACTTGATGCATCTTGGGCCAAAGATGTGTCAACCCAAAAGGAGATCACAATGAGCTATTTTTTGGAATTTACAACTGTTTTGTTAAACCCATTTATTATTTATTTATTTTCATATATCTTTGGTAAAAATATCACAATTTTGTTAAAGCACCAAAAAGCTTTCAGTTTGGAAGAAATTTGCAACCATATTGCTTTTGTGACAGCTGTTGTTTGTCTTGAGGTCAAAGGTTGCAGTAAAAAGTTTAATAACTTCCTCATCAGAAGCATTAACGAATCTTCTCTGATTATCTGTTGTATGGCGTCCATCCCTCAGTAAACTTTTCACATTTTCAACTTCATCTCAAGAATCACGGTGCCAATTTTAACCAAAAATGGCACAAATCATCCTTGGGTCAAGATTTGTCTGTTATCTGTTCTTGTCTTAAAATTTACAACTTCAGCTTCTTCTGCAGAACCACAGTGCCAATTTCAACCAAACTTTGCATAGAGTATTCTTGGGTAAAGGGTATTCAAAATTGTTCAAATGAAAGGCCACACCCTCTTCCAAGGGGAGATAATTAAAAAAAAGTAAAAATTGGGTTGGGTCATTTAAAAATCTTCTAAAGAACCACTGGGTCAGGAAAGATGAAACTTTAAATATGTAAAAGCTTCCTGACATAGTGTAGATTCAAGTTTATAAAAATCATGACCCCTGGGCTAGGATAGGGTAACAATGGGCAGTCAAAGTTTTATAGGAAAACATAGGAAAAATCTTTTTAAATCTTTTCAAGAACAGCAAAGCCATGATTGGTCATATTTATATGGAAGAATTCTTAGGTAGTGTATATTCAAGTTTGTTCAAATAATGACCCCCAGGGCTAGGGTGGGGTCACAGTGGGTGCACAAAGTTTTACATAGGAATGTATAGGAAAAATTTTCAAAAATCATGTAAAGAACAGCAAAACCATGATTGGTCCTATGTATAAGGAAGCATCCCCAGGTAGTGTAGATTCAAGTTTGTTCAAATCATGGCCCCTGGGGGTAGGGAGGGGCCACAATGTGCGATCAAAGTTTTACATAGGTACACATAGGAAAAACCATTTAAAAATCTTCTCTAAAACAGCAAAGCCATGATTGGTCATACTTATACAGAAGCATTCTCAGGTAGTCTAGATTCAAATTTGTTCAAATCATGACCCTAGGATAAAGGGGGGATGTATTTGCAATCACTTTTCAATACTGAACTGATTTCTGCTTTTTTTTCTGGCCAGTGTGCTCAGGTGAGGGATGAGGCCCATGGGCATTTCATAAATCAGGCAGTGCAGTAAAAAAGATATGTGTGTATAAATTTGGCTTTGTCCACATGGGAAGGAAAGCAGTAAGATATTTAACTTTGGTATAAGAAAAGTAATAAGTTATAATGGTACATTCTGATGCATCAGTATTTAGGAGTCAGTCCAGGGCTCAGCCTTCAAGAAACCATTTAGATGAAATCCTGATCTTTCAAGTGAGAAGTTTGTGTAGGAAGACATGAATGGAGGGGATGAAATTGTCGCATAATAAGCCAAGTATGTAAACAGGCCGCTGATAAATTCCATTCTGAACACCCACTACAATGCTGGGAACAGGGTGGTGGCCAAGCATTACTGTAAACCATGGTCTCTACCTAGACACTTGTTTGGACAAACAGTACAATTTTTTTCTTCCAGATAAAAAAAGGTTTGTTTTGCAAAATTAGTTGTTTCCCTTTTGCCAGTGTCTAATGGTATTAGGAATATATATTTATATATATATATATATATATATATATATATATATATATATATATATATATATATATACACTTACTTTCATATGATAATAAAAATTGACTTAAACTGGATTACGATTTCAAAAGGTCCAGCAAAATATGTATGTAGGGAATTATGGGCATTCTTTCTTTTTCATAATTGATCTATTTTGAAACTCTCAACTTTCTTAACCTTCACAATGGGGACTTGCACTTGAATAACCAAATTAAGTGGAGTTCAATATACCATGAGGAATTCAGGCTATGAGTAACATTAAGGAATCATGCTCTTTAGTGAATGACTTGGTAATGCATGCCTGAAACCATTTCTCTCACCTTCCTGCACAGATTCTATACCTTGGTAACCCGATCCTATATAGGGATGACAGTCAAGGCCCAGCACTCATCCTCAATACTGGATCAAATGACACAGATCACATCTAGATCCTTCATGTGTTTCATCACTGCCCTAATGACCATGAACAATTAAGTGGAAGGAGGAAAATTGGATTGTTATAAAGGATTTTTTTTTCTCACTTTTTCTTTGGCGTCAAATTGCACGATTGTTTTTGACAAACAAGCAAGGCATAAAGAGCTTATACTGAAGAATAAGAGTGATGAGGGGTGAAAACAGAGGAATTCTTCTGCTGTTATCTTTATTCTTTCTTCTTTTTTCTTTTTTTTTTTTATTTTTTTTTTGGTTTATTCAAAGTTTTTTTGTTTTGGCATTTTTTCTGCTGACTAAGCATTCTATGAAGAATTTTGAGGGTATTGTTAACATCAATTAGACACTCTCATTCAAGAAATACAATTATGACAAGTTGTTTTTACTGTTGTGATCACAAGGAATGTGTTTTTAGTTTGTGATGTATTCAACGAAGGTTTTTTTTTTCACCATTGATTGTGACCGATTTCGGGTAGAGAAGATCTGGGGTTGATGTTTCTCATACCCTCTGATGACTGATTTAAGATTCCCATGAAATCAGGGACATCAATGAATAGAAATTAAAAAAAACTCTAGTGGTAAAATCATTACCATGGCAATTAGACTATACACTATCATGGTGCATTAACTCCTCATAATTACCGTGGCAACAATACCCTAAACATTTCACCAATTTACAGAAAATGTTTCAGGTTAATTTACCTGTTGATCATTTTGATAAGTTTTATGATAGACATTTCTTAAATTTGTCATAAAAACATTTTTAACACATTAAATTGTAGCACCAATCAATTAAGTTGTTACCATAGACTTAACAGATCCTGTTGACTTTGTATTGGAGGAGACAGGCATTATGATGTGTCAAATGATAAATATATTTTGAATCTTCATTTGATAGTTGAATTTTTTTGCTGGTTTAATATATTTATTTTTTCCTTTTTGAAGTAAACTTTTCTCAGAAATTTACCTGAGTGCAACACATAAGTGCAGTTAAACTTTCATGCATAATGCATATTTCTTTTGCAATTTTTGTGCGGAATGTTTTGACACAGTGTCGTTTCTTTAATTTCAGAAGCAATCACTTTATCAGAGGAGCATCTTCAGGCAGGCCTGAGGGATGGGTCACTCAGTATTCCCGACACTCAGGTCATAGAATCAGGGTCACTAGATGAAGGTCAGGTTGAGGTCATCTCCCATGGTCACATCATTGAGGAGGGACAGGTCATTGAATCAGGTGATGGAGTGATGTCAGAGGAGGAGGAAAATGATGAAGGTGTAGAGGAGGAGGAGGGAATGATTGCTATGGAACACTTGTCTGGCTCTGTGGTAGAAGAAGATCTGTCGGTAGGGGAGGGGCTTAATATGCAAATGACTTGATCAATTGTTAGGATGCAAGGAAAGATTCTGTTATGAATTAACTGGAAGAGATGAGATTGTTTGACTAGTGGCTGGGTGATCATCATGCTGTAGCTCTAACAATAAACTGTTGAAGAGTTTTCAATTGAGAAGGAGGGGCCTAATATGCAAATCAGAAGTTGAGATGAAGTTCATGCAAGGTAGTATGCAACATGCCAATATGATGTCAGATTGTACAGTACTTCCTATTAAATAGTTTGGAAGGAACATATTCAGGTTTCATTGTATAGTTACAAAGTCTTTAACATCATTGAATCTAAAAGAATGGTAACTACTACAGAGTGTCTAACAAAAAGAGAAGGTACTGCTTTTCAGTGATTAGAAACCAAGGGCAAGGGCAGGCAAGCATCCCTTCAATAAGTATTAATGGAATATGACTTCATGTTATTCCCTGAACACATTGTATCTGGGCAAAGTTTTGAGTACTTCTTTAGATTTGTAAGAGAGAGACCTTTCAAAGCTCAAGCCAGGTATTTCTTTTAAGAGGGAAGATAGTTGAGGATACTTCTTTATAGTAACAGGGAGTATCTTGGAAAAGCAAAACATAGTTTTGGAAAGGTTTCGAGTACTTTTTAGAGAGGGAAGGATGTGTTATGGGAAGGTTTGGTAAGGGAAGTCCTGAGCTTATGATGTTCTTTTAGAGTTCTAAGAGTGTCATCTGGTTACAGTTAGGGGTACTTCTTTTAAGCAGTTAGGGTGTCTCAGCAATGCTTAAAGTAGTTCTGTAGAGTAATAAAAAAGTGTCTTAACATGGGTTAGAGTGAAATAGAAGTGGCCTATCAGAGATTAAGATATGGGTATTTTAAACTGCATGTATAAGTTATTTAACAATATGAAAGAAAAAAACAGAAATTTGATGCAACAACAATTGTCAAAATAAATGAAAGAGGAAGTCCTTGATATATGGAAGCAAATGTTCAGACAATCTAGTGATATGAAAAGAAGACTTGGCAGTTACAGTGATTATTTATGCTTATTGTTATAAGAAGTCTATTAAGATACAAATGACAATAAAATACTGTCAAACAGCATGAAATCCAGAAATGCTGGTAGTTCACAGTTTTTATGCAGTGTCTTAAAAGAATGTGTCTTATTGTATTTTCTCATAATTTCTGGTTGTGAATGATATGAATGTATAAAATCTAACTCATTTCATTTGATAGTCATTTTTATGTGTGTCTGTGATAGTCCATTTGAAGCAGTCATTAATTCTAATAATTTAATTTTTAGGTCACCTGAGTCACTCAGGCGACCTATTGCTATCTGTTTTCGTCCGTCGTCGTCAGTCGTCCGTCGGTCGTAAACTTTTGAACATTTTCAGCTTCTTCTCTTGAACCACTGAACCAATTTTGGCATATAGCATCAATGGGTGAAAGGGTACAAAAATTGTGAATTTCATGGTCCCTGCCCCCCTGGGGCCTGAGGGGTGGGGCTAAAACCATCAAAATTAGTGCTATCTTTAAAAATCTTCTTCTTTACTCCTGGACATCAAGCAGTCAAACTGTTGGCATGATTGTAATAAGCATTGAGCCCTCTACCAAAATTGTGAAATTCATGGCCCCAGGGTCAGGGGTTCTGGTGCTAGGGTGGGGCTAGATAGATCATATAGTGAAAGTGCATTATTTCTTTGAAAATCTTCTTTTCTACTCCTGGGTATTATTGAAACAAATTAAATACATAGTTATGATAAGCAAGGATGCCTCTTCCAAAATTGTGAAATTCATGGCCCAGGGATCAGGGGTTCTGGTGTTAGGGTGGGGCTATATAGATCCTATAGTGAAGGTGAATTATTTCTTTGAAAATCTTCTTCTCTGCCCCTGGGTATTATTTAAACAAATTAAATACATAGTTATGATAAGCAAGAGTGACTCTACCAAAATTGTGAAATTCATAGCCCCAGGGTCAGGGGTTCTGGTGCTAGGGCGAAGCTATATAGATCATATATAAAAGTGCATTATTTCTTTGGAAATATTCTTTTCTGCTCCTGGGTATTATTTAAACAAATTAAATACATAGTTATGATAAGCAAGAGTGACTCTACCAGAATTGTGAAATTCTTGCCCCAGGGTCAGGGGTTCTGGTGCTAGGGTGGAGCTATATAGATCATATAGTGAAAGTGCATTATTTCTTTGAAAATCTTCTTCTCTACTCCTGGGTATTATTTAAACAAATTAAATACATAGTTATGATAAGCAAGAGTGACTCTACCAAAATTGTGAAATTCATAGCCCCAGGGTCAGGGGTTCTGGTGCTAGGGCGAGGCTATATAGATCATATATGAAAGTGCATTATTTCTTTGGAAATATTCTTTTCTGCTCCTGGGTATTATTTAAACAAATTAAATACATAGTTATGATAAGCAAGAGTGACTCTACCAGAATTGTGAAATTCTTGCCCCAGGGTCAGGGGTTCTGGTGCTAGGGTGGAGCTATATAGATCATATAGTGAAAGTGCATTATTTCTTTGAAAATCTTCTTCTCTACTCCTGGGTATTATTTAAACAAGTGAAATACATAGTTATGATAAGCAAGGATGCCTCTTCCAAAATTGTGAAATTCATGACCCAGTAATCAGGGGTTCTGGTGTTAGGATGGGGCTATATAGATCCTATAGTGAAGGTGAATTATTTCTTTGAAAATCTTCTTCTCTGCCCCTGGGTATTATTTAAACAAATTAAATACATAGTTATGATAAGCAAGAGTGACTCTACCAAAATTGTGAAATTCATAGCCCCAGGGTCAAGGGTTCTGGTGAAAAAAAGGGGGGGGGGCTCTGTTGATTATATAGTGAAAAAGCAAAATTTCTTTGAAAATATTCTTTTCTGTTCCTGGTTAAAAAGCAAAGAAGCTAAGTGTATAGTTATGATGAGTAAGAGTGCTTCTTCCAGAGTAGTGAATTGCATGACCCCTGGGTCAGATGTGCTGGTGTAAGGGTGGGGCTCTTGATAATATAGTGAAAATGCATTAATTCTATTAAAAAGTCCTGTCTACTCTTAGTGTTAAGCAGATAAACAAAGTGATTACTTATGATGAGCAAACTTCTGGTCCCAGGGTGAGAGGATCTGGTGTTTCTTGCTGGGGAGGGGGGGGGGGGGGGCTCTGTTGATAATATAGTGAATCTGTAATAAAAATGCATTATTTCTTTAAAAATCTTCTCTGCACCTGGGCATATCAGAGGCAAAAAGAGTAAAAGTTTTAATAAGGAAGGGTATTTTTACCAGATTTTTGAACATCTGGACCATTTGGTCAAGTGTTCTGGTCCTGGCCAGGGCTCTATTAATTTGTATTCTACTGAGAGGAGTTATTCCCCTTTGCCATTTACTTTTGATAATTAATCACTGTAAGTAATGTACTTGAAAGGTTAATGGAATAAGAGAATTATGCAAGAATGTTTATTGTATAATACATAAGGACTTTCGTAGTTTTAATGATCAGATATACTTGTAAGTAATAGATAAATAAAAATGAGACAAAAATAACTTGTCTTTTTAAATGTTCATCAAAGACCAAGAGAGCCAATGTAAGAGATTTTAACAAGGAATTAAAATAGTACAGAAGCACTGATAGTTTGCTATTTAATATACTGTATGGTGATAGTGATAAATGGGGAACAGATTAGAATCTAATTTATGAACTGTTAATGAATACTAGACTAATTATTTTGTTGATCCTGATCACCCTATTTTTCTTGCTTTTGGGCAACAAAGCTTCACCTTTCAGTTCATTTTATACTCTATGGATCCTCTAAATTGTTGTATTATACTCAGGTGACCGTTAAGGCCCTTGGGCCTCTTGTTTTTTTAAATGCTCAGGATTATGTTATTAATTTGTCAATATTTGCACATGCACAAATCCTATATACATGTATATCTATCAGTATGAAATAAATAATTACATGAAAATATGTATTCATTTTCTTGCTTTTTTTAAAAAAAAGGTTTAAGTAACTGTATGATGTTACCACTTGTTATTGATCCAATAGTGGACTAGAGATGAGTTCACTTTAATATGTACAGGTTTGGGGTATCTGCACTGTCCACGGTAATTGATGGTGAGGATTATCATAAACCTGCTGACTTCAAAGAGGGAAAAAAATGACAAAGCAATGATATGAAATTCAGGACATTGTGAGACCAAGTAAGGACAATGACCAAGGGAGGTCAATCCATCAAGTGGGCCTATCTACCTTAAACATGAGATGCCAGCCGCCACTTTCCACCATACAAGCATTTGAAGTGAAGATTTCATTTTATCCATTGTTTATGCATGGGCAATTCCCATATATTTAACATGGTATTATTAAAATTATTTATTATCCTTTCAATTTATATAGGCCTATATGAAAGAATTAAATCAGGATTTTTGGAGTGACGTGTCATATGATTTATGTTTCGTTCTATTAAATTTTGACTTCTTTGTGTTGGTTTTATCTTTTAAGTCAGTGATATTTGTTGGGATTAGGCGGAATTCGGGACATTTTCCTGATCAATAGATATTTTTATCTACTTTGACCATTAGATGATATTTATGAAGCAAAAACGATTACTGCAACGTGAACCATACACAATTTATTGCTTATATAGAAATGTATAATGGTGGTTATTTACCTTAAAGTACTTCCTGTGTACTTATATCTGGTCAACACTTGTAATAATTCAGATATGTATTCAGGCTATTAAAAACTGGTGTATCAGAATTGAAATTGCCATCCTGTATTTTTTTTTTTTTTTTGTGATATCGATGTCTGTATTATAACAATGATTTAAAACCTCTTGTAGAATACCCTTGCTCTTGTAAGGCAACGTCCTGAAAATGGCCAATTTAAGGTAACCAAGTGATCTTACGTTAATGTCTCGTCACTGACAATTTACAACAAATAAACATGTGCATATCTGTTTTGCAAGGGGTCGAATTCTTTTAAGGTAGTTGTGACTTTAAAAAAAAAATTGATTCGGCAAAGGAGCAGTCGATGCAGCCAGCTCATTTACGTTGTTAATGTGTGAAATGAACAAGGTTTTTATTTTTTCATCAAAATTATCTTTTTTCAATCGGAAGTTGAAATTTGTGTTATCAATTTCAACGTCAGTTTTCAGAAAATGCATTTTTGATAATACATGCACCGCAACTTTGAAAAAAAAACATACTTCATGTGTACGCATTTATAAAAAATAATTTTCATCAAACTTAATGGTAACTGTTGGATTAAATCTCTGTATAACAACACTGTACATTTTTCAAGTACTGTAAACCCTTAACTAGCGTTCAGATGTTCATAATTCTGAGAATTTTGTTCTTTTGTGGCTGGCCAAAAAAAAGTGATCGTAACCTTAATGAGCTCGAGTGTAGTTTACATAGACTTTTCCAATAAATTTTGAGCTGCATGTTATTGGCTAAAGAAGAAGATGCAATACCCATGTTTGCAGTCAACTTCTGAAACAACAGTAATGTTCTATACATTTTTAGCTCACCTCAACAAAGTTTGGGGGAGTTTATGTAATATACCGTCGCGTTCCAAGTTAAAGTTCTTTTCAAGTACTCTGCCTATATTAATCAGAGATGCATGGAGGATGTCTCTAGTATGTTTCATTGTGCCAGTCAAGGTTTCAGATGCTGAAATTTCAACTAAAGAATTACCATGTTAATGTTTTTTATGGAGCAGGTTCAAGTTTTTTGGAGCTGGTCTCGTTTCCAAGTAACCATAAGCCCTATATTGACCGAACTTGCATGGATAATACATCTAAGGATGTACACTACCAGGCTTGACTCGGATGCTGGATCTGACCTACATTTTCCAGATGAGTGACCAGTTTAAAGTTCTTGGAGCAGATCTCATTTCCAAGTAACTATAAGTCCTTTGTTGACCAAACTTGCATGGATGATATGCATCTAAGGATGCACACTACTGGACTTGCTTCGGATGCTGGATCTGACCTACATTTTCGATTCCAGATGATTGTCCAGGTTAAAGTTTTAGAAGCAGGTCCATTACCAAGAAACTATAGGGGCTATCTGAACCAAACTTGCATGGATGATGCTTCATGGGAGGAACACTCTCAAACTTGCTTCAGGAACTTGCTTCAGATGCTGGATTTGACTAACGTTTTCTGGATGAGTGACTAGTTTTAAGTTTTTAGGTAAGTCCATTCCCAAGTAACTGCAAGCCCCATTAGACCAAAATTACAGGAATGTTATATCTAGGGATGCACACTACTATATTTTTAGTTTAGTGTGGGACTTTGCTTCACCGAAAGACAACATTTGTTGAGGTGAGCTCTGTAATCTCTGATTACCTATGTTTGTTGTAGAGGAACATTGAAGTCAAAAATGTTAAGATAATTTAATGCAGTATCCAGGTCAGCTTGCATCATAGTGACCAATCCTGGAAATTCCTAAGAATTAAGTGGGCATTAATTGGGTCGAAATATATAGAACGGACAAAGACCTTGGACCAGAGAAGAAATAAAAGTCTTTAATATACGAAAATAATTAGATTTGGAAGCCACAAATATTTATGAAATGCAATTTTCTCCGCCTGATTTCTTTCATGTTCATTGTTTTATGGTCAAAATAAACCTTCCTGATAGAGGCAATCCTAGGGAATGTGGAAAAAGAGAAACAAATTAGTCACTTTATGTCCACGTTCTGCACTTGGATGACCAACAAAAGAATATAAAAAAAAAGCTAAGCATTTGGGGGAAATTGTTTACAATTAGTTATATTCATTACGATTTGTAAACGTAGATCAATTAATGCAGAGTTCTTCCTAAAGAATTTAGTTGCTTGTGGACAATGTACATTTTCAATGAAACTTGAATGGTCCGTCGTATTTGCAGTTCAGCCATTTGAAAACATCCAAATTTCTGTGTGGTCCTATTCTGTGTCACCCTTTTGTTTCCACGGTTACTGATCTACACAAAAACAACAATCAGAACTCGGTCTCTGCTCGTTGGCCTGACAGTCTTAGGTTACGCTTGTCAGCTCGAGTTTCGTGTTCAGGTGTTCAATAAGAAAACTTGACTTTGATATTGGTGTTGTTCGCGTATTTTTATTTATAAGATACGTGTTTCTTCCCAAAAGATACACAGATAGTTACAGACACTATAGTCACAAAAGCGCACCAGATGACCGTGGAAATGAAATGTCAAGGTCATGAATTCTGATGATTGTTAAACGA